CAATAAATCACTTACGATTTGAATCACAACCTTTTCCTTTTTATCTTTATCTTTTTTTTAACTTCTGAATAATCCAATCAAGTGGATTCAGGAACCTTTTTTATCTTTTTTTTTATTATTCTTTTTACTTTGTACAACTCAGTCTGATCAACTTTACACGATCTGGTGGTCACACATCGAACCTTTATTATAACTTTACCTTTTAAACACTTTTGCTACGAGCCTCAAGTCTTACAAAAGACTACGAACACACAAACTTCTATTTTTATTACCTTTTACAACACACTCAAACCCAAAACATACAAGATTTACAGTAGATCGCGGATGTAAGTGCTGAACGTTCATATAACGTTTATCTGTTACTTTGAAGTAATTCTCCACAATGGAAGAAATATCTCATGGATTTCTTGGAAAAATTTATTGATTACGAGAATAAACATATAAACATTTGCTGTTGGGGCCGTTTTTTTTTTCTTTTCTCAAACGGTCGGAAGCGTATAACATAGTTTTTTTGACGATGAGCTAGCATGAAATGCATCTGCTTGAGATGGAAACACAAATTTTGGGTTCTCGACACTGAATAACCAACAACCGCAAGGACGTCTAAACGAAGCGCAATCAACCTCAACCCTCAACATCCGCAAGACTAACATGTTCTACCAATCTTTTTTTTTTAAAAAGAATTAATCGGACTACTGTACGGTATATCGGGCCTGACCTCCCCTTTTATTTATGCAGTCATTTCTCATTGTTTCCATTTTAGGAATTCAAATTCAGATATTCATAATCTGCAGAGGACACGCATTCGGATGATGTAGGTTAAGCCGCATTTTGGGCTGCCTTTCGCTTTGCTCAGGCAGTTCAAAGGATGGTCGGTAATCTTTTCCTTCAACCCTAAGAAAGGTTAATGTTAGCAAGATAGGTTGTGTGCGAAAATTTGTCTACGACTATACTTTTGCCAGTGCCACTGGCAGCCTGTTTTTTGTTTCTTCGACGGATAGAAGACCAATAGTAATCGAGGAGCATGTTTGCTCCCCAAGAACCAACACAAGCACGCAGACGAATATAAGGCGATGCCTTAGCTTCCAGCTCTTGAATGGCGTCAGGCCGGGCATCACCAGCAACACTTCGCCAAGTACTGCCTTCCTTGATAGCAAATTTTCTTTGTATGCCATCAATGACAGCCTTGACAAGGGCTGATGAGACGTTCACCTTGCAGGCATCAAACATATCATCGTCAATCTTGTCGTGCTCAGAGCCACGTACCTCGTCGATGAGTCGTCGGAAAAGTTTCCAGGAAAAGGGGGCAGGACGATCTTTACGACCAGGACGTGTATCTCTAGCTCTAGGTTCGGGCGTTGAATACGAAGTATCAATTAAAAAGAATAAAGACTAGAATTAACCAGACTAAAAAGATATATGTCGATTGACTTTATTAAAGACGAGTATTTATACTAAATGTGAGACACTCTTCAACTGAGATCGTAAAACTTTTCATAGAGGCTTATGAATGACAATTGAGGCA